GAAAAAAACACTTGTCTCACTGTCTCGCAAAGACTCGTATTTACCATTCACCACCCCTAGTGATGCGATGGAATTTCTAGACCAACGTTTAGAAGCCTGCATTAACAACCTCACTCGACGAACACCAGGTACCAGATACAATTACCAACTACCAAGACAGCGACCTACTTGTTGTAACTGTAGTGCGGGTCGTCACTTTGAACAAAGTTGCCCTCGGCGAGAGTACCATCTGACATCGCAGAACTGGTATTGGCCATTGTCACAATAAAGTACATGTGTGGTCTTGATCGACACCATTTCTTTAACCTACAGAAATTGTAATAACACGCGTGTCACCCAAATTTGCTGCAAGTCAGCTTGGAGTTTCATGTGCCGTTTGAAAACCTCTTTATCTGCTGGCTTTTGACCTTTTGTCTGTAAAGAATATGTATCATGTTTATGTTGCGTGAAGGCTGTGTAAGTTTAATACAAGCCCATGCACTTTACTTTCTTCCAACTTACACATGTGTAGCTATATAAAGTTTCCGATACTCGTCCTCCCATCTTTTCTTAGTTTTTTTTCTTTTTTCTTCAAAACAAGATGGCTACAGGACGAAAGTGGCTTTCGTCTCTAGCTGCTTTGAAAACCCCAGCTCGAGGACATCATATTTCTTGACGGTATTCAACTCAAAGCACAACATACGCCGTTTAAATCTTTCATAGATGACTATTGATACAGTTCTTCCATATGGGTATAACTTTTATTATTATTATTATTATTAGTAGTAGTATTATTATTATTAGTATTATGATTAGTAGTAGTATTATTATCATTATTATTATTATTATATCGGTATTACTATTTTCTCACACCTCACAAGGTCAATGGAGAAGGATTTTTCTCACAAATATCAACTTTGAAAACTGTTCCTTGGATAAGAAATCAAATTGCAGCACTTGCGCAGAAGGGTGTCAAATGCCCTTTAATAAATAAGGTACAGACACCTGCACTGTGTAGATATACCTTGTAGTAGTATAATTATTTGGCATTTATTTATATATTAGCTGATTTTGTCTGTTGACTTGCACTTACAAAACAAGGACTTTGATACAAAGGCAAAACATAACCAATAAAAGTTCAGGCCTTTCCCAAGAGCTAGTTTATCTTTAGTCAGCAAAAGAACACAGACTCTGACCAGGTCTGTGTTTTTTGGGATGTGCAGTTAGAGACTGCTTATCATTGATTCTCAGCCAGTCAGCTTTGAG